GAAGTGACCAGGGAGAATATAACTTACATTGCTGGAATTCTTATAAGAGAGTGATTAATTTGAATGTAAGCAAGCGATAGTTTGCACTAGACAAGTATTTTAGTTATCATTTTGTACATTATTTTGACAGTACAGCTTTTCCCTTAGGACAGTGTGTGCATGTAAATGAGTTTCAATAAATGAATAAAGTTACATATATCGAGCCAAAAATATTAGTTGAAAAACTTTATGTAGACAGAGCTTGGATGACTAAATTTTAGAATGACCAATAATTTTAATATAAAAAATGCACAAATATTAAGAGCAAAATTTTCTTGATATTTACTCCACTGGAAACGAATGTAAACATAGAACAGATTACAGTGATCCCTCGGTTAACAAACGCCTCGTTTAACGAAATTTTGGTTAACGAATTACCTTCCATAATAATCTTCACATCAGTTAATGAAAAAATTTCGGTTAATGAATTCCTTACGAATTTTTCCCAACATGTTTTCGTCTGCTTTCGGCTGCTCACCAGCTGTAGTATTAGTCCGCCAATACAGTGAAACCTCGCTTTACGCGGTCAATTGAACCCACGGAGGCCCGCGTAAAGTGGCAAACGCATAAAGTGAACAACAGGACATATGAAATTAATTGAAATAGACTGGGCCGACCCCCAAACTCCACTTTTTCCCGACAATACGTACGTTTTAGTAAAAATATCTTAACTTTATGATGGTATGCACACACACATAATATAGAAGAGAACAATCAATAAGAGAATAATATACTGTAGATTAGGTTATAAAAAATCGAGGTTAGGTTAGACACTTATGTTAGTAGAAGAGATGGGTCGGCGTATGGGAATGGAGGCTGGTTCCGAGGCAGAGGGCAGGCTACTGGCCCTCAGGTGAGTTATCATCACTGTCATCCACACTTGTCAGGGCCTCCCTGACAAATCCCTCAAAGGCACCATCACTGTCTCTGTCACTATCACTGGCTTGAGCTGGCTGTGGTGGGTTGCGGGCGAAGAACTCGGTAATGCTTTGTTGACGGCTAGTGTTGATGTTGTCGTGATACACCTTGATGTAGGGGTCCATAATCTGCAACAGCTGGGTAGTGAAGACTTCATATCGGTTATCGTCAGGGTCGTCGGAAAGGAGGAGCTTCAGTTTCTCTACACACTCGATGGCACCCCTAACATTACCATGCGACAACTTGCATTCTTCTTGGGATGACGCACCACCTGCCTCTTCACTGACGTCATCATCTTCTAACATCTCGTCGGCAGTCACATCAGGATCCCTTATCACCTCCATAATGTCGTCGTTGGTGGTCCCGGAGAAGCCTTTAGTGTAACACTGAGCAGCTTCTCTGGCAAGGTCCACTGCTACTGCAACAGTCTGAACCTCACCAGTCACAGATTGACTCTGCCTCCCACCTGGGATACCTTGCAACACATGTCTCCATGCGTGACGAACCGTTGCTACAGACAGCTGATCCCATGCCTCCATAAAGAAGTCCACAGCTTTCTTGACGTTGAATTTTCTCCAAAAATGTTTCACAAGTACTTCTTGCTCTGCCAACTGTTGTTCCTCGTCCTCTTCGCTCTTGCTATCGGTGTCACCCAGGTTACGCAACTCATCCTTGGTGTTGGTACAGTCGTTCAGGAGCTTAAACTTCTTTGCAGAGAATGCAGCTTTCACATTGCAGATTAATTCTTGGTCCATGGGCTGTATTAATGACGTAGTGTTGGGAGGAAGGAAGACCACTTTTACGTTGGGGTGACGATCCAACAGTAGGGGCAAGTGTCCTGGTGCGTTGTCAAGCAGCAACAAAATCTTAAATGGAACATTCTGTTGCCAACAGAATTTCTTCACGTCGGGAACGAAACAGTCATCAAACCAGGAGAGGGACAGATTAGAGAACATCCACACCTTACGTGCGGTCAGCCAGTGGACATTTAGCTTGGTCGTGTCCATGTTCTTTTAGGCGTGCGGCTTGCGCGCTGTGTGGATCACCGATAACTTGAGCTTACAGGTACCAGAGGCATTGGTGGTAAACAGGACGGTGATGAGCTCCTTCTGCAACTTCCGGCCCCGACACTTGCTGGCAGTCTTGACAACGAAGGTCTTGGAAGGTAACTTTTTCCAAAAAAGACCAGATTCGTCCATGTTGAACACCTGGTCGTCGGTGTACTGTCCTTCCTCCATAATCTCACGTAAAAACGGAGGAAAATCCCTAGCCGCAACAAGGTCAGCACTAGCTTCGTCAGCACCAATGTTAATGTTGGTGATCTTGTTCCTCTTCTTAAACCTCTGCAACCACCCAGAGGAAGCATTGAAGGGTTTGGGCTCTGCAATTCCCATCTTACGTGACACTGCTGCATACAGTTCACGTGCATACTCCTAACTGAGCGCGTGTCCACCGCCATGTTCCGTCTTGCCTGACGAATCAAGTAGCTCACAAGTAATTTCTCTTTCTTGAGAAGCACCTGGTTGTGGCAATACTTGATCATAGAAGCACCTGTAGACTTTGTGATGTTCATGTGTTCTTTTATCTTGGCTGCATCCTTCTTGATTATCCGGATCGTAGATTCGTTCACACCATGCTGGCGCGCCAAATCAACCTGTCTTGTTCCTTTCTCCAACTCTTGGATGATCTTGTATTTAATTTCGTAGCTTAGGGCACGTCGTATCTTCTTTGGCTTAGGGCGGCTGGGTCCAGGTAATGCAAGGTTTCTTTGTGGTGGTGGTGGTGGTGGTGGTCCAGTGGCAGCCGTTCTTATGGAACAATAGATACCGATATACACGGTGTAGCCAGGAGGGGTGTAACTGACGCGAGTAAGTCAACGGGCTTCAACGCTCCCGTGGCGGGACACGTCATATTACATTAAACCAATCACAGCTAGCGGGGGAGGGAGGTAAGGATGCTTGGCCCAATCACAGTCCGATACGTCATATGACGTCACCGATAACGCAACAAAGACATACACTGTGCAACCTACTCGCGCCGCTTACCCAACATGGCAGGATGGCGGGAGAGATGGCAGGAGGTTTGAATCCAAAAATGGCGCGGCGCGAGATGACAACCAGCCGCTCTCCGCGTAAGAGTACATGCACCGCGTAAAGTGAGCATTCCGGGTCTGGCAGGGTACCGCGTAAACGTGAAAACGCGTAAAAAAAATGCGTAAAGCGAGGTAATACTGCACAGTAATCGGTTTTAGGGCTTAAATTCGTTACCATTTGAGTAAATATCAAGAAGGTTGTACTATTCAATAATTTTCCAAGTCTTATATTATAATTTTTCGTCATTTTAACAATTATTTAACATAATTGAAGTACAGGGAACTAGTTTTTAGCGCGCCAAACAGCCACTTGACTCACCCAGAATGGCATCAGTTTGTGTCCCTGCTCAGTGGAGGAAGCATCTTGCTTGAGACTCACTTGAACATAAACTACTTCAACGTTTTTACAGTACAATTATTGGTCATTCTGAAGTTTATTTTACATATTGACAATATATAATGCAGTGCAGTGTTGATTTAAAGAAAATAATCTTGAATTACACCAAGTGAACTAAAATTTTATGGGTGAAATGGCGACATGAAGCATGGGGTGACTTCTCTTCTACCCCCATTTCCTTCTCTTCTCCCTTCTCCTCCACCCCCACTTCTAATTCCCATCATCATCAACCAGGAGCCTTCTACACACCTCAAAGTAAGTGTACTTTACTGCATTTTTTTTTTACTTTGTATGTAATTTTCGGTGAGCTGGAACCAATTACCCAAAATCCCATTGAAACAATGATTTCGGTTAACGAAATTTTCGGTTAACGAACGACCTTCTGGAACGAAGTGTGTTCGTTAACCGAGGGACCACTGTACTGAATTGGCAAACTAGCCCATCAGCTGATGCTCACAACAAAACGTGTTTGTCGTAAGGATTTCGTTAATCGAAGTTTTGTTCGTTAACCGAATTGAAGATCCTTATGGGAGGTAATTCGTTAATCGAACCGTTCGTTAACCGAAGGACCACTGTACTCTAAAAGACTTAAAGTTTTATCTCTTGTGCAAAATATATGATGTATATATTCAAATTATTTGCTGTCTTGCAAGGATTCCAGCAATGCAAGTTATATTCTACTAACTTTAGTCTATGATATTATATAAAATAAAAACTTTAAGCCTAAAAACCTCTTTCAATCTTGCCAAAAGTGGAGGGGGAGGTGATGAATTATGACAGCTGGCACCAGCCCCCTGCCAAGGTTACCTAGTGGTATTTATTGATCTGCCATATAGGGGGAGTTTATATTTTTCTTTTATAAAATGTCAATGAATTGACTTAAGAGTATACAATTAACATTGCTGGAATTCTTGTAAGATAGTGATTCATTTGAATATAAACATGCTATAGTTTTCACTAGACAAAATTTTTAGTAATAATTTTGTATATTTTAGTACAAAGGACTTAAAATTTTATCTCTTTTGCAAAATATATGATGTTTCTATTCAAATTATTTGCTGTCTTGTGAGGATTCCAGCAATGCAATCCATATTGTTTAATTTAGACTGTGCCATTTTATGTCAAGTTTAGTCACTCCAGAACCTAACCCTATTTTCCCCATTGATTACATGTAATTATATATCACGATTTAGTATGTATAATGAACATCCTTGGACCCTATCTTGCGAAATATCCTGACCCTACTGTACCTGGAAAATTCCGTGGTTGAAAGATGAAAATCGGGTGCATTTTCTGGAAATTCCGAGAAAATTACGAAAAATTCCGGGGATGAGGGATTTTCTGGCTTTGAGAGTCATCTCGTTACCCGAAAATCACTCATTCCCGGAAGTGCTCTTCACCAATTGTTCTGACTAATGGAGATATCACTGTACTAAAGTATAAATCTGCCGACTGGGGGAGATGTACTATTCGTCATGGATTGAGAAAATCAATCCCTATGATTTTCTAGAGACTTCGGTTTGAGAAACTAAAACACTGCAACAGTTAACAAACCTGTTCATAAATTTGTATGGCTTTTTCATAATTTTCCATCTGTGCTGCAAACATGGCTACTTTCAGGAGACACTTATTTGCCGATGAATTGTTTTCCTCCCCACGGAAGTAATCAGAAGCTTGCTCGAAGTGTTGGATGGCCTTTTCGATGTCTGCAACCTAAAAATCACCAGATATAATATAAGTACTGTATCATAAAAATTATATAATTATATCATTCATTCAATCACCAACACCTGAAACATACAATCGGTAATATAGGTTATTCACACTTAACAAATAAATCTTGTATCAATTAACTTTTAGCAATTTTCTGGTGTCCTATTCATTGTTACTGATATCCAAAATATTCCTCCAATATACTGTATATAATTCCTTTAATCTCCCATCAACTGTCATCAAAGCACCCCATTTACTCAATTCCACAACAATTATATAATGCTTCAATATTACCATTGTCTTCTCTCTCAGTCACATATTCAAAGCTTACCTCAGTTTCATAAATCTCAGCAATAGACTGATGGTGTTTGGCAGCCATAGTGAACTTCCCCATGTCAGTGTAAATCTCAATCGCCTTCAGCAAACAATTGACTGATTCTGGGGAAACAAAATAAAGTTTACATTAATCTATAAACTCAAAGAATTATACAGTGATCCCTCGGTTAACGAAATTTCGGTTAACGAATTACCTTCCATAAGGATCTTCAATTGTGTTAACGAACAAAAAATCAGTTACTAAAATTTTTACAAAATCATGTCAAAATGTTTTCGCTTGCTCACCAGCTGGAATATTAGTCCGCCAATACAGTAATCGGTTCTAGGGCTTAAATTCGTTCCCATTTGAGTAAATATCAAGAAGGTTGTACTATTCAATAATTTTCCAAGTTTTATATTAAATATTTTAGTCATTTTAACACTTATTTAACAGAAATGCAGTACAAGAAACTAGTTTTTGGTGTGCCAATCAGCCACTTCATTCACCCAGCAAGGCGTCAGTTTGTATCTCTGGTCAGTGGAGGTAACATCTTGCTTGTGGCTCTCTTGAACATAAACTATTTTTAAATTTTTACAGTACAATTATTGGTCATTCCGAAATTTATTTTACATATTGACAATATATAGTGCAGTGCAGTGTTGATTTAAAGAAAATAATCTTGAATTACACCTAGTGAACTTAAAATTTTATGGGTGAAATGACGGCATGAAGCATGGGGTGATTTCTCTTCCACCCCAACTTCCTTCTCTTCTCCCTTCTCCTCCACCCCCACTTCTAATCCCCCATCATCATCATCATCATCAACCAGGAGCCTTCTACATACACACCTCAAAGTAAGTGTACTTTACTGCATTTATTTTTAATTTGTATGTAATTTTTGGTGAGCTGGAACCAATTACCCAAAATCCCATTGAAACAACGGTTTCGGTCAACGAAATTTTCGGTTAACGAACGACCTTCTGGAACGAATTGTGTTCGTTAACCGAGGGACCACTGTATACAAGAACCTATTTTTAAGATGATACAGTTTTAAATTTTACCAGGACAACTGAAGAATATTTTTTTACAATATTATTAGAACTTACCAGACGTCTCTAAATATCAATAATGTCCCACTGTGATATACTGTACATACTCGTCTATAACCCCCCCTCGTTTATAGGTCGACCCTGATTTTTTGACCAAGAAATCGTTAATTTATGATATTCCTCGTTTATAGTTAGACCCACGTTTTTGAGGGTAATGGAACAACAAAACCTTCAGTAAAAACACTCTACGTCCTATAAACTGAGGCTCGTCGTGCCTGAAACGCGAGTGCCGAAGGCAAATTGTTTACCATTTATTATTACATACTTTACACTGAAACGCGGGTAGTTTCAACAAAAATATTGTATATTTCCATTCAAGTATTTATTCAAGTCAATTAGGAGAGAATATTATTGTAATACAACAGTGTTTTAACTAAACCATTCGAAAAGCGATTACGGTAACATCTTTTGAACGAAAGAAAGCGAGTCATTGTTTTCGTCACGATTTGATCCCACCACTTTCCACTGTAATACGTACGTCATTTCAGCAAAAATATTACATTTCCGTGAATGCATTATATCAAGCACAGTATGAATAGAATACCATTGTAATATAACAATATTTTAACCAAAAACTATTAAACAAACGAGTAACTTCTCTTGAACATCAGAAGGTTAGGTAAAATCTTTTGTTACCGTTATATATTTTATCCTATTTTACATTAAAATACATCACGTTTCAGCAAAACTACTATTTATTTCTGAGAATATATTCATTCAGGCAGAGCTAAGGTAAAATATACATGTGATGTAACAGTTTTTTAACTGAAAACGGTTCGAAAAACACGTGTACCGTCTAGCTGATACAGCTGGTGGTGCGTCATGCGTCGTTGTAAACAATAGGAGGTTGAAGTAGATTTCCTTTTTTTTTTTTTTTACGGGGATTAGCCCACCCGGACACAGGTCACTGACCCACATTGGGGCCTGGGGGGCGAAAATGTAATAATAATAATAATAATAATACAGGTTGTACCTCTCTAGTCCGGCAACCTCTGGACCTGACCGGTGCCGGACCAAGGAAATTGCCGGACCATGGAAATTCACCCTTTTCCTGGATAGATAGTGACTTGTGCTTATGCTTGGAAGCACTAGCACCACTTTCTCTGCATCATGGTCTCTTTGAAGACATATTGAAGGATTAAATGTCGTATAGTAGCTTCTCAAATTTTGCGAGTTTTTAATTCTTAACGTATTTTATTGGAACACAAAATAAATAAATAAAAATTTTGACGGCGGAAACTTGAATTTCGACGGGTTTGAACGGCCCGCCAACGTGCAGACGACGTGCATTATCGTGTAAACAGCGTCATTTCTCTTATGTACAAAAGAGTCATTATTGTTTATTACTGAATGTCTTTTTTATTGAATTAATGTTTATGTGTGCAAAATGAGCAATACAATTCATTAATAATACGTAGAATATTAAAACACACGAGGAAATGACACGGCATTGTTTTCGTTGATTACAAAACCAATGACTGACTGGTTCTACATATAAAACTGAAGAAAATAAGACCTTGGCTGTAGCTGTAGTAAAATTAATATGGTTATTTTAAGTAATGTTATTTAATGTTAATAAATGGAACAATAGAAGTAGCTAACGATAATGGTAAAGAAAAAAGAGAGATCGCGTATGTAAGTGCGCATGCGCACACGTGAAAACATATCGTCATTACTTTACATAAGAATATGAAAGCAACACTTATTTACTGTTCATATATATTTTAATTAATGTTTCTGAATTTGTTTTTATTGAATTAATGTACGTGTGTGCAAAATTAACAATACAATTTATTAATAATACGTGGAATATTAGAGGAGACGAGACGGCTGCCGGCATTGTTTATGTTAAAGCTTACAAAACCAGTGACTGATTGGTTCTACATATAAAACCGAAGAAAATAAGACCCTGATTTTAGCTGTAGTAAAATTAATGTAAAACAATTAATATGGTTGTTTGAAGTACCTGTAATGTTATTTAATGGAACAATATAAGTAGCTAACCATAAATGGTAAAAAAAAAAGTGGGACTGCGCGTATGTATGTGCGCACATGTGAAAACATATCGTCATTACTCTACATAAGAATATGAAAGCAACACTTATATACTGCTCATATATATTGAAGAGTTAAATGTTGTACTCTGTATAGACAAAGCAGAACTGCCGGATAAACAAACCTTAATTTCCGGCTTTTTTTTTAAGGGGATTAGCCTACCCGGGCATAGGTCACTGACCCACATTGGGGCCTGAGGGGCAAAAATTTAATACTCCTGTAATAATAATAATAATAATTTAGATACAAAAAAAAAAAAGCTGCCTATCTACCTATTGGACAAACTAAAATCGTTCCGGATCACGGGAGTTTCCGAACCACAGAATGCCGGACTAGTGAGGTACAACCTATATAATAATAATAATAATAATAATAATAATAATAATAATAATAATAATAATAATAATAATAATAATTCATAATAAATAAAATTTATGATAAAACAAACAAAAATAAAATAATAAAATAATGATGATAATAATACAGTAACTGTAATAATAATAATTTTAATAATAAAGAACTATAAATACAAAAATGAAAAAAAGATCAAAAGTGAGAAACGCTATACTGTATGTGTGTGTTGTGTTGTCAATGGTAAGAGAAACAATTGAGACCCTGCAATTGTGTGTAAATGAGGCAGAAAGTCAGATCAGCAACCTGGGACTTGGTCACAATTTTCGTGATGCCATATGGCAGCAGGGTCTACCATTAGACAACACATTATGCTTCCAATATCTTCCCAGGCAGTAGTACCTCCCTGTTTGGTATTTTTTGTAGATCAATGAGAACCGTGATACCGTATATGATATGATAAGTTAGCCTGTGCTAAGAACTTTAACATAGACTACTGAAAGCACGTTGTAAGGTAATTTAGCCTATTGTAAGTTGGTGAGCCTCATTTGCTGAAGGAACTGCACAACTTTTCATTACTAATTGGTACATATTTTACGTTTCCATTGTTTACTGGCAGTAAATGGTAAATATTTTTCATGTCTGAAGCTAAAAGTTGCTCCTCGCCCTTCCCATCATGCACGGGTTCAACCTAACAAAACTATTACGCATGTATAGGACGACCCCCAATTTTTTGCCTAAAAATTTGGTCTTAAAAACTCAAACTATACACGAGTATATACGGTATACAGAACTGTAATAAGAATTTAAATGGGCACCATTACAGGTATGGGACCATTTTTCCAGCATCCAGAATGTTCCAAAAAACATCCATGTTCTGAAATTATTTATTTCAGCTGCATTATGGTACCGGGTTAATAAATCATTATCGTAAAGTAATCAAGTAAGCTTAGGGTGTTGTTTGACACTTGATGACCGAATCTTATCAGGCTTCCCAAATACAGTGGTCCCTTGGTTAACGAACACAATTCATTCCACAGAGTTGTTTGTTAACCGAATCCATTATTTCAATGGGATATTGGGTAATTGGTTCTGGCTCACAGAAAAGTAGATACAAAGTAAAGCCAAAAAATGCATAAAGACAGACACTCCTAAAATTACCCTAAAAGAGACACCCATTTTAGATTTTCTGTGTATTATTTTTGCATTTTCAACTTACGACCTGGTAGTCGGTCCCTAACCCCGTCCTAAGTCGAGGACTGACTGTACTGCATAAAATGTTATCGTTATGATACTGGCATCAAAATTATCATGATTGTATGAGAATGATCATACCCAATACAAATGACAACCCTGGAGAGACAAAACACAACCCAAGAGAAAAGCCAGAGAAGTACAGTAGAGGCCACACTTCCCATGGCACCACATATGCATGGGCAAAGAAAGGAGTTAGTGAGTGGTGGATATTTTGACCGAGACTGACTATCTAAAAGGGCAGAGAACCACAAAAGTTAAGACTAAAGAGGCAGAGGAAGAAATTTCTACAATATTTCAAAGTATGGGTAGTTACAAGAGGGAAGATATACACACCATTAGGGTCTGTCTTCTTGTAACAATTTCCTGCCTCTACAAAGTTTGTGGCAGCATCCAAGCGTGAGCCGGCCTTGCCATGTAATGCTGCCAGTTCAGTAAAGGCATGTCCTGCTGAACTCCACTTCTTAGCCATCTTAAACTTGTTAGCAGCTTGTTGGTACAAATCCATGGCTTCATCCACTCTTGACGATCCCCTGTAGAAATTAATCATTGAATAAGCTGTAATTCATTAAATCAAAAACATTCAAGGTCAGAGGATCAATGGTTTTGAGGATTGGGTCACAAAGGAAATGTTACTATCAAGGTGTGATTGTCAACTGTGATGTAAAAGTGCTCAAGCTGCACTAGCAATTACCTGTAGTAAAAAAAATTATAGGCCATTAGCTTATGCAAAATTGTATAAAAACAAATACGTACAGTAGAAATTGTTTTGTTTCGTCTAAATAATTCCATCTGCTGTAGTCAAGCAGTTATGTTTAAGATCTTTCTATTTATATTCTAACTTACACACTCCTCACATCTACAATCATTGGTGCTGTATAATTATTCCAGAAGACCAGTTTATACTGTAGCATGATCCAATAAGATCTGGCAGTACATTACCTCTTTCCATTTTCAAGTTACAAGACGTACATAATTTCATTAATTGTTCTGAAATACAAAATCAAAGTTTAGAAATGAGGAATTTCTCAATCAATCATCAAGTCCTATTTTATAACCAAGCTTAGATCAGCAACTCATGTATAATCAGACAAGTTTATAGATAAAAACTGCATGGTTCTCAGGATCCTCTACATTGGTTCATGGAAATAATTTAAATATTATATGAACTTTCCCTCACAACCCCAGCCATTTAATTATAAAACAACTGAAGGAGTAAAAAATTATCACTTAAGGTTTTCAAAAGGCTAGAACTCTTCACCACCACACAAACACATGCTCTTCTTGACCTGAATATATCTTGGTAATATAAGTGTCATTCTGAGTGCTGAACCCTTAGTTCCTGTTCACCTCAGCAGTACAAACAACTGACCATCCTTGCCCTCCCTCCAAGCAGTGTTGCCAATGCTCTCCTTCTCTCATGCATCTCTACTGTCACTGTTCAAGTAGCAGAGCGGATAACAGGTACAATTATGCAAATGATCAAACAAGCATGAAATTTAGTACGAACATTCAATATGGGTTACTTATCAAATATATCCAATTAGACATTAAAAATTCTAAAATGGCGGCCATTTTCCAAGATGGCCACCAAATTTGCCTAACCGCAAACATTTTTTTTCACATACTATAATGGGCGATCTGTGTACATAATGCATCTATTCCTATGTTTTAAAGCATACTGGAACAGATTATGATAGTTTTAGAACTGATATATTTTTTCTGCACAAAGTAACGGTTCTTCACATACTTTTACCTCTTTTCATAAAAATAAGTAAGCGATTCTTAGTTAAACAATGAGAAACATGTTTATATCTTGCTCATATCCTTGGGAGATAGTTATAAATATTCTTGCATATTTATAGCTGCTGGCATGTGCATACACACACAGCTGTGCCAGTGAGGCCAGAGTGGATACATTTACATTGCTTTCCACAGTCTTTCTTTCAAGAACACTTGGTCAGTTATTGGCAGCTCACTGCTATTGGTGGAAGGTCTGTCCAGTGTATTTGCCACATATCTCCTTTCTTTTTCCAGCCCCAGTTAGCAGGAATTGGAATGTCTGATTGATAGGCTGCACACTTTACATGTTCCTCTAGGGCAGACCGTGTTGGTGGATTTTATTTATTAATTTTTTATAAGGGGGATTAGCCCACCTGGGCACAGGCCACTGACCCACATCATGGCCTGGGGAAATATTATTATTATTATCATCATTATTATTATTATTATTATTATTATTATTATTATTATTATTATTATTATTATTATTATTATTATTATTATTATTATTATTATTACAGTATTACCCAGCTTTACACGGTTTCACTTTCCGCGATTTCTCATTTACGCGGTACCTTGCTAGAACCGGATTTTCACTTTCCGCGGTGCATCTACTCATACGCGTCAAGTATAATTTTTTTTTTTTATTTAGCTCATAAAATTCATACAAATTACCCGGCCAGAATATAATTTACATTGCTGGAATTCTTACAATATGATCATCATTTTGAATATAAACATCATGGATTTTGCATTAGACATACAAATTTTAGATCTAATGTAATAATTTGGTTTACACAAAGCAAGTATTTTATCTTTTGTACAAAATATATGAAGTTTACATTCAAAATATTCCCTGACCTGCAAGGAATCCAGAAATGTCAATTATATTATCCTAACTTTAGTCTGAGGTATTATTTATTACTAAACGTTAAAATCTAGTGTTTCACCCAAACATTTCTCAGAGAGGTAGGGGCCAGTGAGCTGGGAAGAGGGGGGGGGGTAGGGATTTGAGTCCATTATTTGAATGGACATTAACCTGGCGACTGAATTTCTCTTAAATATTAATTGTGTGAGCATACCATCATAAAATTTAGATGTTATTTTTACTACAACATAGGTATTGTGTCGGAAAAAGTGGAGTTTGGAGGTCAGGCCAGTCTCTATTGGAATTAATCCATATGTTCTGTTGTTCACTTTACACGGTTTTCACTTTCCGCGGTACCCCGTGGGTTCAATTGACCGCGTAAATCGGGGTACTACTGTATTATTATTATTATTATTATTACAGTATTATTATTATTATTATAATAATAATAATAATAATAATACAGTAAAGCCTCCGATAACGACGGTTCAACTAAAGAAGATTCATAGCTAAGACCCTGGTTAATTTAGGACCCAATTCAATTTACGGCATTATTTTCTTCGTATTTACGACGAAATTAAAAAAATATATTAAATTTTTTTATAAATAATAACTAAATCCCTATATTATAAAAAAAAACACGCCTTGCGCACAGAGGCTGCCGGGCTTGTTTGTGGTGACGCCAGCATCACTAGTACTATACACAATCGCAGCTGGCGGGACCTTTGTTTTCACGCATCTGAACAGGAAAAGAAGACAACTTTCTCAGATTTCTTACAGCATTTTTGCATCCCTATTCAACATTAGCAAGAGAGCAAGTGATGGTAGTGTTGTTTCAAAAGCTAAAAGAAAGTGTATAAGCTTAGTTGAGAAACTAGATGTGTTAAAACGATATGAAAAAGATGAGAGGTCTGTGGATATTATATGGAGCAAGCAATGAACATAGTTTCTGAAGTGGATCCATTAACAGAACAAAGCAATAAAATTTAAATAAATGCAAATGACCTCTACATAAAGATGTATAATGAGAAAAGAAAGCCGCTGTGCAAGGTTCTTTCGACAGCTTTATTATTCGAAGGCCTAAACCATCAACTTCAGCTACACCATCAAGTTCAGCATCATAAGCAGCTTCAACAACAACTTCAGGTTCAGTAACAGTTTCAGCAACAGCTTTATGGAAAGCTTCAGCTTCAGCCAGAGTTGAACCTTATGACTTTGTCATCTGAGTAAAAACTCACACATCATCATTGACTGTCCTTATGTTTTAGACTTTGCCACCATTGGTGAGAAGAATTTTTGGTTTTATATTCGTAAATATTATTTAAAACATATATGAACAGTAATAAGTGTTGCTTTCATATTTATATGTGGAGAAATTATATGTTTTCACATGTACGCACTTACTGTACATACGGTGGCGTTCCCAATCGTCTCACCTTATTTCTTTACCATTAGTGGTTCGCTACTTCTAGTGTTCAATTTGTTAACATTAAATAACATTACAGTACTTAAAACATACATACAGGTACTGTATTAATTTTTTTTTACATTAAGTTCACTACAGCTACAACCAGGGTCTTATTTTCTTCAGTTTCTTAAGTAGAACCATAGTAACTCACAAAAACAATGCCATCTTGTCTCCTCATGTGTTTTAATATTCTACGTATTATAAATGAATTGCATTGTTCATTTCACATATATAAACATGAATTCAATCAACTACATATTCAGTAATAAACAATAATGAATCTTTTGTAAATATTCTTAAGATAGATGACTTTCCTTGAGTGCACACGTGCACACTGTGCACGTACTGTATACATTGGCGTTCCACTATCAGTCTCACTTTTTCTGTAACGTCAGTGGTTACTTCTACTGTACATTACATAAATAACATTAATAAAACATACCCGGTACATATTTTTTACATTAATTTTACTGCAACGATGTACTGTTCCAAGCGTATAGTCATTGGAGTTTGTATACTAGTATATGTGTGAGATGGTGTAGCCTATGTGTGTTAATTCCTGTTTTGTACATTTCAGGTATTGGTGCCTTCTGTATTGAGACAATACACACCAACAAAATCAAACAGTATATTACTGACCGACGGTGCATACAGTAAAAACAACAACCAGGGTCATATTTTCTTCAGTTTCAGGTGGATAACTGACATTATGGGTGCAAACACGGACAGCAATACCGTCTTTACCCTCATGCGTGCTTTAATATTCTACGTATTATTAATGATTTGTATTGTTCATTTCGCACATATAAAGATTAATTCAATCAAATACATATTCAGTAATAAACAATAATGAATCTTTTGTAAATATTCTTAAAAAGATAAATTACGCCGTATCCTTAAATGAGCACGTATACCGTATTTTGCGGCGTAGAAGACACTGCATCGTGGAAGACGCACACTGATTTTGGATATGTAATTCTAGGAAAAATACTTTTTATACTTACTAACCAACACCGGTGAAACCGTTCCTTGATATACAGTCAACCCTCACTTTATGCTGTCCCACATTCCGTGTTTCCACGTTTACGAGGTACCCTGCCGAAACCCGGGATGCTCACATTCCGCGGTGCGTGTACCCCTTTACGCGGAGTGTGTCCGGCTCGACGCTATTTTTACATTCGCCCCTCCCGCCTCTGCCTGGGCAAGCCGCGCGGTAAGGTTGCGCAGTGCATGTCTTTATTGCATTATCAGTGACGTCATGACGTATCGGACTGTGATTGGCCATGCATCCCTACCCCCCTCTGCTGCTAGCTGTAATTGGTTTAAAGTAATATGACTTGTCCACCCGGGGGAGGGAGGGAGGGAGGAAAGACGACGCTTGACCTAGCCGCGGCAGTTTCATCCCTCCAGGCCAC